AGAGAGAGAGAGAGAGAGAGAGAGAGAGAGAGAGAGAGTAGTTGAGGGGCAGGGAAAAGAAAGGAGGGAGAGAGAAACATGCTATTACAGGACCTCTTAATGTTTTCTATGTTGTACAAAATTTACTCAAGCAGTTGAGGTAGTTAGGAAAAAGATTGACTATTTATTGAGTGTCTTCTAATCATTCTTTCTAAAATACTTATTGGGTATCTGTTTATTTGGTGTCAGGTGTGGGAAAATTAGCAGAAAAACTGTTTACAGGTTGTTACACCTGAGCACCCCAATATATGAATGTTTGATGGAGGCTATTTTAAATGAAAGTTCTGGTCCTAAATCAAAAGTTGCTGGTGAGAGAAACATTCTGCTACCCAGGAATTAACAGACAACTGTATTCAGTGGAAATTTAGTTTTTGCAGTTGTACTTTTTATTTGGACAAAGGAGAGATATAAAGGACCAAGTTAGAGGAGAATGAATCCTTAAGGTACTGGCAAGCGTAGTAGTCATCAAGGCAAACTAAAGGCGCCAAGCTAGAGAACCAAATACACCAGTTGTTCATGGGTCTCATTCCAGTGGAAAAGTACCTGGATGTCATGATGTTTCTTAAAGACGTCCATGAACTTTGCCTATATTAAACTGAAAACAACTTAGTGTAAGTTCTTGATTAAAACAAATATTATTTAGATTCTACTATTGATAGGTAAGTAGCAGATAAAATGAAATATTTTGTAAATATAAGAAAACATTTATTAAAAGAATTCCTCTGTGTGTGTGTGTGTGTGTGTGTGTGTGTGTGTATGTGTGTGTGTGTGTACACATTAGGAAACATTTGCTGTCACCAGGGAAGATACTGAATTGAAACTAAAACCCAAACACATTTCCCAGGACTATAAAAAAGGTTAGCAGAAAGCTCCCTAGGAACCAGACAGTATGATTAAATTAATTGGGAAAAAGACAACTTAGTGATTTTTTTAAAAAAAAGGTAACTGACTGATGTTATATTAATATGAAACTCTTTTTTTCTTATTATACAAGTTGTATTGTTCTTCTTAGCTATGGGGCAACTAGTGTACTGAAGTATTTAAACAGAGTTCTATGTTTGAGAGCAATAACTTAACTTATACCTTATTTTTGATAGATAGCTATAATAATGTAGATGAGGTGAGTGAAAAGTCAGTTACTACCATAAATTTCTGCAAGAAAAGTAGGCCTGGGAGGCATGGCAGATTAACCAGAAGCTATCAGTGGATCACCATGTTATTTGTATCTGAATTCAGTGAATTTTTTTCTGTGTCATGCTGTTGTATTTCTTAGGATTCATCAATATTGAGAGATTGAATGGAAAGTCTCTTCCTAAAAGTAAAATTATTTATTATTTGTTTTCTTCGCATTTTTTATTGTATTGGAGTTAGAATACTTAACATGAGATCCACCCTTGTAACAAATGTTTAAGTGTATAATAGCGTACTGTTCATTATAAGGAAAATTTTGTACAGCAAGTCTCAAAATCTTATCCATCATGCATTACTGAAACTATATACCCACTGATTAGCAGCTTCACATTCCCTTTCTCCCAGCCCCTGGCAACCACCATTCTACTCTCAGCTTCCAGGTATTTGACTATTTTGGATATCTCATATAAGTGGGATGGTATAGTATTTGTTCTTCTGTGACGGGCTTATTTCATTTAGCATGTCCTCAGGGTTCATCCATGTTGTTGCCTACTGCAGATTTCCTTCTTTTTTGAGGCTGACTAATATTCCAACTAAAGGGATTTCTGAATCAAAACAGTTTAAACTACACAACGATTCACGAGAAAAATGTATTCAATGTAAACTGTATTGACCTCGTATGCGACAAGGCATTGTGATTGTACAAGGGAGCTCCCGAATCACAGGAGACTCTCCAGCCCCTATTGGGGATAGAGATTCAATTTATCTTCATCCAGGAAAGGAGATGTCTTGCAAACTAGCAGAGCAACATGTGTCACATCTATTCAACCAAAGATATACTAATAATTTCAGAGGAAACAGAAAACTACTACCATATTCAACATAGATATTGATAAAGATATATATATATATATATATATATCTCCAGTATGGAAAGGTGACTTCGAATCAATTAAATATTGTTGTTTCTTTACAGTTTAGTCATTTCCTGTAAGTTTTTTTTTCCCTATTTCTAGAGGATTGATCTCTTAAATAAGAGGTGACAGATACTTCTCAATATTAGAAGGGTTTTATTTCATACCTAGGGCAATAGAGGAAAAGGCACTGAGGTTGACATCCCTGGAGATAGAAAATGGAGGCAGCGGGTTGACTGTAGGCAGGCTGAGACTAGGAGATGATAGACATAGGCTTTGGACAGGAATTGGATGGAAGCAGGCTTTGGAAAGTTTTAAACCTAGTGAGAGCAAATCATATTGTCTATGACAGTCTAAAGCACTCACTTGATTATAACGACAGTAAAACTGTCAAAGTGATGCCAAAAAAGGGGGGAAACTTGTTTAAATTAAAAATCTAGCTAAGTTTGAAGTAGAGAACAAAAAATTTTCATCTGTCTACACTGTCAGCCCTCTGTGCATGTGAAAATATATTTATTATTTTCTAAACTAATTTAATGAGTTCCAGATTGTACAGGATGTCATAATGGAAACAGGATTACACAAGATAATAAGGAGTTTTTTTTTTCTCTAAATGAGTTTTACCTAGACTCCCTGTGTCGTACTTTTGATCTTAACTGTGTTTCATTTACCACATTGAAGGAGGTTACGTAAAGGGTAAAATAATAGAAACTTAATCAGGAAACAGATTTTCTTATTGCTGCATTTTATTATATATTTTGCCATATTCTTTAGCCTAATTCTTGAAAATAATAAAAGATGTGTAATTTTAAAATAAGGACAATTGAAACCACATTGCATTGTATTTACGAATCTTCCTTCTGAGCCATCCCAAACATTTCACACCAATTGATCTTCAGAACAAATTCATGGATTGTCTAGGGGTTATTAGCAGGGAGTATAAACTTCCTGGACTCTACCTTTTGTAAAATACTCGATAAATATCAGTGAATTTAATTTTACAGATGAAAAACAAATACAAAGAGGAAAAATCTGGTTTCCAAAGGCCCAGTCAAATAAGTTTCCTGCTGGGGAATAATATAATATGAACTGGCCCCATTAGAGCATAGAGTTTTAGCGTGAAAATAATTTCTTGGAGAGTGTTATCATGGCATATAAAAATGTATAGTTATACTGCATGCGTGACCTATTTTGTTAATGTAATGCTATTTTCTGGTAGACAAATATCTGCATATGATTTATAT